TTTAAAGCATTTTTTGGACAAAATGCATGCGGGACAGGTGGGTCAGGGGCTCTAGGGACAACTTTTCCAGTGTCATCAGTGTAAACACTGAGGTCGACTTACTTACACATATTCAGGGCTTTAAAAGAGTATCTAAGGAAGAATATTTTCGGATATAATTTCTATTTCTTCTTTGAAAGTCACAAAATGTATTGATACTTTGAAGTGATCAAAGATATTCTAATTTAAATTCTTTCCCCCCCTTCCCAAAGGCATTTGGGAGGCATCCATTTTTGACGGCTGCTCCTCAGTCAAGGAGCACGGTTGTACTAATTAACCAAGTTTGTTTTAAGGCAATATTTACTTAGGTGTAGACAAAATTGTTTTATTACTGTTGCCCTGGTACTTGGCTTAGTTGAAGAGCACCTTTCAGAAGACATGCACTGCAAATGACATGAGGTTTCATCTCTGAAACACCAGAACTCGTGTAACAAATGTTCCCTCTTTGAGGCCCAGGAATAATCTTTACAGAAGACATGAGATGCTGAGAATAAATATACTTCATGGACGATAAATCTGGGATCACATGCACAGAAACAGGATATTATGGTATTTTCCCATCTGGGGACCCTGCATGTGGACCCATCGGTATTTTATCTGTGGAAAAATGGAAAAACACGATTGGGTTTATTCATTCTAAAATATACTGGATAACCCAATTTTTTAAGTACTTTATTATTTTATGATTTCTTTTTGAGACAGAGTCTCATGTAGTCCTGGCTGGCCTTGAACTTGCTCTGAAGCAAAGGATTACCTTAAACTCCTGATCCTCTTGCTTCCTGAGTGCTGGGATGACAGGTATCTCCCCATCTAACCTATAATACTTTTATTTTGGGGGGCTTTTAGAGACATGGTCTCCTTGTAGCCACAGCTGGCCTGGAACTTGCTGTGGAGACCATAGATCCATTTACTTCTGTCTCCTGAGTGCTGGAATTAAAGGTGTATGGCACCATGCCTGGCTTCCTGTAACACTTTTAAAATAGTACTTTTGAAGTTTCTAATAAAACAGATGGCTGATAGAGTTAAAAAAGTCAATTTGGGGGGACACTGTGAAATGTTACCCAATTATATATCTAGTATTAGGAGGTAAAGTTAGTAGATTAATAGTATGTTAATTAGCCTGACCCCACACCGCAAATAAGCTTGGAAGTAACTGAGGTCTCTTCCTGCTGTTGAACAATATGTACAGTTGAAGGGGACTAATTTATGTCAAAGAGCACAGTGAACAATATCACAGTGTGATTACTCTGACTAAGTAAAAGGAAGACACACAATGAATGTTACGGAAACCCACCCTGACCTCCTCTTTGCCTCTCTGTCCATCTCCCCTGCCCAAGCATCACGCCTGTCATAGACACTCCTTTAGGCTCACTGCATTACAAGCTCCTCAAGGTGAGGTGGCATAGCTCTCACGCAGATAGAGCCTGCTCTTTTCTTCTAAATAGAATAAAAAGTGGGGGGTGGGCGTGGGGCCCCAGCCCTAGTTCAGCAGCTACTTGTAATTGACGGCTACTGGGAGAGGGAGAGCCAATTTTCATCAAGGATGTGGCCTCTGGTAGGTTGACTACGCTCCCGTGGATAGTGATGTGCCCAAGAGTGTAATACAAACTAGATAATACAAACTGGATAATACAAACTAGATTTCATGGGCTAAAAAAAAAAAGGATACAAAGTTGGGTGGGCGTGTAGGGAAGGGGATGGGGTCTGGGAGGAGTTGAGGGAAGGGGGTGAATTTGATCAAAATATATTGTATGAAATTCTCAAAGAAAAAAGAAATAAAATGGAGGGGGGGAGCTTAGAGATAAGTGGTCCAGGGGTTAAGAGTGCTGACTTCTCTTACAGAGGACCTAGGTTTGGTTCCCAGCACCCACATGGTAGCTAACACCCATTTGTAACTCCAGTTACAGGGAATCTGATGCTCTCTTCTGGCCTGTGCAGACATTGCATGACAAAGGTGCACTTACATACATGCAGGCAAAACACTCATACATATAAACATAAAAATAGATAAAAATTTTTTTAAAAATTTAAAAAGTGACATAATCATGAACTGGGATGCCTCAGGCCCTGCTGGGAACCATGTCCTATATCTGAGCCTTGGACAAGAATAAAGAGAGAAACAGAGACTAACGTGGCATGTTGTGTCCAGTGTACAATGTCTCAGGTGTTATATTTTCAGTCCTCACAGGAGCAGGACAAGACAGGCCCTGGGTCCTTATCAGTGATGAGAAGTCAGGTGGTGTGTGTGGGGGGGCATGTCAGCTCCAGTGTCAGAACTCACAGGTGACCCTATAGCTTCCGGAAGACAACAGGGTGCGCAGGTAGGAAGCCGGGGATTATCTTCATACGATATGCCACATTTGTATGTTAGTAGAATGTAACCCAGCATCCTGTGGTTTTATTGCAAATAGAATATTTGCTCAAATAAAAGAAAGGCATCCAGTAAATGGACGGGTGGTTTGTATGACGTTTTTACGGCACGAAGTCTGCATTGATTTATAAAAACACGATCAAATTCTAGCCTTTGAGATCCACAACAAGGAGTAAGATCAGCATGGGTTCAGAGAGAAAATTCTTGCTTCCTTACAATCACATGGGAATTCCATATTAATGCTGTGTACCCACCCCCTAGGGACATCAAAACCTTCAAGACACCCTGCAGTAGGAGGTATTTAACACTAATTACCATTCTCAATTTTGTGTATGAGACCTTTCATATTATTAGTGAGCTAATCGTTATATTATCGCACAAGCCTCTTAATAGTAATTACTAACCACAGCTTAGGAAGTCTCATTCTAACCCACTTACTTCAAAATTACAGGTCTAGACCTTCCTCTTGAAACCTGCCTCCTTTTTCTAGAAATGTTTACAGTTTAGTTCATCTGTTTAGGAAGTTCTGTTTAGCATCTCCCTCTAGACGGACAGGTGGGATTCCACACTCTTCCCCTTCGGTGTTTTCCCCAGAAGAACAAGGAATTCTGGGAATCCCTGTCTATAGTCATGACAGATCAACCACTCAGTACTAGCAACTGTTAGGTACTTCTGTTCCGGTAAGACACATCAGTCTCTAAGCACAGAGTCTCTTTTTATTGTCAACCTGATGCAACCCAGAGTCACGTGGGAGGAGGTAACCTTAATGGAAACATTTCCTCCATCAGGCTGACCTGTGGCCGTGTCTGTGAGGAGCTGTCTTGATTGATGACTGATGTGGGTGGGCTCAGCCCACCGTGGGCAACACCATCCCTAGGCAGGAAGCTAGCAGAGACCCAGCCAGCAAGCAGCCCCCTCCAGGGTTCCTGCCCTGACTTCCCTCGGTGATGAGCTGTGACCTGGAAATGGTCCCTTTCCTCCCACGAGTTGCTTTTGGATATGATGCTTAGCAGAGCAATTGAAAAGCAAACTGATGTGTTTCCATACTTTAGCCATTTTCAACAGTCTCTAAATCTATTACAAATTCCTATATTGTTTTCTTTGGAGAGAAAACAAACAATTTGTTTTCTTCAAATTTCATCAGCTGCTGCTAGGGATACAGGGTCATGTCAAGGGTCTTGTTTATGGCCAGTGTCCTACATGGAAAAGACTCATGTTCATCAAAATCAACTTTACAAAATGACTGTTGGATCCCAGGATGCAAAGGGAGTTCCTAAGAAAGTGGAGGAAGTAGGCAGAGGGTCCTTCTATGCGCAGATCCACAGAACCAGCACGAGTACTCCGGTTCCAATGCGCAACTGAGAACCTCTCCCAGAACATTCTAAGAATAAATACAGGGCTCTGTTTGGAAGGCTTCCAGGAGCAGGACTCTCAGTTCCTCATGAGGCACTGGACCTCACCACGGGCTGCTCCAATGAGTCAGCAATTGTCGTGCAAGTCAACTGAGCTCTAGTGGGGCAGTCAGCCCAGACTCCTTCCAGTACCCGTTTTTGTTAACACCAGCTTTGAGCATTTTCAAGGGCAGCCAAGGGGACTGAGATAGCTGTGCTCTATGGATGCAATGCCCAGGCACGTCAAGCCTAAAGAGGTCAGTGTAGGGCTGGGAACAGGAAATGAAGTCAGTCCAAGGTGATGACTCTTCTTTGGGCTGCCAGAATCAAGCAATCAAATAGACACAGATGCCCAACCGTCTCAGAGAATTTAAAGGGAGAAAATGAACACCCTTCTATAATAGACCAAAGTCTACATTTGGTAGAATAAAGTTGAAATCTCCAGGAAATAATCTAGTTGCTGAACTTCTAGGTGGTATTTAGAACATTCTAAATTCTAGAACTGGAGTAACAGCTCCCCCACCCCCGCACCAGGGTACACCACACTCACCATGGAGCTCTCTGAGCTAAGGCAGCGTGCAGTGGCCCTTACCCCATGAGAGGTGCAGCAAACACTAATTAGATGGTCTCAGGGGAACTGGTGAGCACTGGACAGGAGGGGGCTGGGGAGGAAAAAGAGCCAGCCAGGCTTCAGCTGTTTAGGCAGCTATTCAAGCCCAGGGTGAGATATTTCCAGAAAATTCCAGCAAGTTTTTATGGGTGGCTCAGGTAGATAAAGTTCCAACAACCCAGGATATATGAAGTCTTGACAGCTCAGATTTTGTCAGGATGCTGGTGTGGCCAGGGGGTTGAGGCCGAATGTGGCAGTGCTTTTTATTCTTAGGTTAAACTGATAATTTGATTAGGAAAATAAAGAAAAAAAAACAACCCAAAGGGATGAAATGGACCAAGGAAGCACGATCTCCCCCAGAGCATCCCAGGAAATGGCCCTAAGATGACGGTGTTTCTTTTTTTTTCTTGCCAAGGAAGTTTCTTTTCCTCTTTTCTCTCCTAGGTGGCAGTGTGATACACAAAAGAGGCTGTCACAGTTCAGCACACTGTCTCCCGGTTGAAGGTCACCAACAAGGAGCATCTGGGACACACACTCAGAGGGTATCAGAATAGGGAATGTTTCCTCTGCAGAAGGAGGTTGGACTTACCGGTTCCACGTTATAGGAAAACAGTGCGTACTCCCTATCCGGAGAGATTTCATATCTAATGGCTCGTAAGGATTCCTAGAGAAAAGAAGAAAAAATGTTCAAGTGTTATCTTTAACAACTCCTAGCAAACAGGACAGTCTCAAAATTTTCCACAAAAATTAGATAAGCAGTGAAATGGTGACATTAAATATGGCTATATCCTTTCTCTGTTAGCTGATCAATATGCGGCTAATTTATGCTTTTTCAAATTTTGTTTTATTTCAGGTTTCAACAAAATAATCCTTACTATGTCGATCAAAACCAATCAAAATAAATAAACATAAAGCAAATAGCCTTTTCTTATAAGACTCCCAAGCAATGTTTAAATATCTTTTTTTCTTTCATTCTTATATTTAGAAGTACATGTTAAAAGAGTTGTTCCTAAAATAGAATTGCATTTTAAATTTTTAAAATTTTATTATTTTTATTTTATGTGTATGCATGTATTGCCTGCATGTAGGTAAGTGCACCCGTGTCATGCAATGCCCGCGAAGTCAGAAGAGGCTGTTGGATCCCCTGGGACTAGAGTTACAGACAGTTGTTAGCTGCCGTGTGGGTTCGCTTCTGCAAGAACAACCAGTGTTCTTAACCATTGAGCCATCTCTCCAGCCCCTAGAATTGCATTTTATACACTTCTGCAACATGTCCTCCCCAGGATGTGAATCCCTACAAACTAGTATATAAAGGACTTGCTTTTCTCTCAAATTTTTTTAACAGTGCAGCGATCATGATCATCATAGATACATGAATTCACCAGTGATGAGGCTCCTCTGACCTACCCACCCTTTGCCCCTCACACACACAGATACTCTGGCCCAACACCCACCCTAGAGCCCTTATCATCCCTTCATGGGAGTACACAACTCCATAGTACTCCAGTGAATACAGTAGGGCCTTAGGGAGACAGACACACCCCTGAAGGTGACTGCATCTTACGCACCTGCGCACCCAGTGTTCTCAAGCAAGAAGACCTCCAGGGAATGACACCATGTTTGAGAATTTCTTAACAACTCATGCTCCTTGAAAACAGAAACAGCATTCGCTCCCACCCCCTGGCTGATGTGAGCATTTGGGGGAGTAATTTCAGCACACAACCATGGCATCAGGGGAGCAGTCAGAGCACCCAGCTATGGCAAGGACTCAAAGTTCTCACTGCCATTGATTGGGTATGAGGACTGTACTGTGCTTGCATTGCAGGTCAGAGGGCACATGCTGTTGTAAGGGTTGGAACTTTTGGGGGCTATCTTCAGGCGTCCACTCTTACATATGATGCTGTGGCTTGACTCTGAACCCCCCACAGGCTCATGTTTTGAAGCTTGCTCTCCAGCTGGTGGCACCATTTTGAGAGGCTGTAAACTTTGTTTAGGCTGCAGGATGTGGTTGGCTGAAGTGCCCTATGCTTCCTGGTTTGCCCAGATGTGAACTCCTGCCACCACATGCTTTCTCCACTACAAAGGAGCGACTCCACCAAGCCTCCTGCCAAGATGGACTGAGCCATCAGAAACCCTGAGCTCAAGCAAACCTGTCCTCCCTTATTTTACTTCCAGCAGGTATTTTGTCACGTGCCATAAAAGTTACTGATACACACAACAATTAGGATTGTTTTGTTAAATAGGTGAACAGTATCTACAGCAGTTAACAGTAGCCGAGGAGGGAGAAGCATTTTCTTCAGTGACGTAGCCACTAGTCAGGGTGCCCATGTTGTAATTAACCCTCATGCATGCTCCTGTAAGTAACCCTAATTAAACTCATCAGATCACACACAAAGACATTCAAGTAGAGGGGGCCAAGTTGGGAAGATCAGCAGAAGTTGAAGGATGACGAGACAGGGTAATGAGAGTGAACATTATTAAACTATATATAAAATTATACCCACCTATGAAAATGTCATAATGAAAGCCTTTATGTATAATAGATGCTAATAAAATGTAAATGTTTACACAAAAATTTTATCAGAATTCTAATTAAGATTGTATTAAACTTGGATGTCATTTTCAAAGAATTAAAATTGTAATATTGTCTTTAAAATTTTCAAGTCTTTAATGAGATTTTATAGTTTATCTTGCTCTAGTCTTTTTAAAAATTTAAAAATTTCTTTACACGGAGTCTCACTACACAGCCCTGGCTGGCTTGGAACTAACTATGTAGACCTGGCTGGCTTCCAATGCACAGATAACTACCTGCTTTTGCCTCTCAAGTGCTAGGACTAAAGGCATGTGCCACCACTCCTTGCTTGTTCTTTTAAAAATAATACTTCAGATCTCTGGACACCTCAGCCCCACAGTTTCCTGGGGCCACATCTTTCCTGGGCCCTGCTCCAAGGCCAGCCCAGCCCTCAAATTCCTGAGGCCAGCATCTTTCCTGGAGGCATCCAGACCTTAGGAGAAAGCCTTAGAGCATCTGATCCTCATCCAACTTGGGCCTCTGTGGGAACTCCTGAGCAGCAGGATGAAAGCAATTTGGCCCCTCCATTATAAAACCAAAGGGGAGAACCTGAAGCCTAGACCAACCAGCTTTTCATGCCCAACAAGTAAACCACAAAGACACATAAAGTTTATAGAAAGAAGCAGACATGAACTCAACAAAGGAAGGCTTGAGTCTCACACAAGAATCAGAAACTACAAAAGAAATCCACATGTCAAAGTCACAGAGAAAAAAATAATAACGTGAAAAATCAAAATAATATATCCCTACCAAGAACTAACAGTCCTCTAGAGGAGTACAATGAGAGAACCCCCTAGCGATAACCCAGGACACAGAATTTAAAAGATCATCAGCATGATCAAGGAATTCAATGAATTTAAAGAACACACAAACAAATCAAAGAACTAAAGAAGATAGAGATAAACTTCTGACTGAATTCACAAAAGAGGTAGAAATAATGAAGAAAACTCAGGCTGAAATGAAGAAGGAACTGAAAAACTCAATAAGCCAATTAGAAATGACAGGAGAAAGCCTCACTGATAGGATGAATGAAATGGAAAACAGAATATCAAGACTGGAAGATAAAGTGGATGAATTAGACCACACAAGCAAAGATTATGAAAAATTTAAGAAAACACAAGAATGGAATATGCAAGAATTGTGTGACACCGTAAAAAGATGAAATTTACAAATCATAGGGATACAGTAAGGAGAAGAATCTCAGGATAATGGTATGGAACAGATCTTCAACAGGATCGTAGAAGAAAATTTCCCAAAATTAAAGAAAGACCTGCCCATACAAACACAAGAAGCATATAGAACACCAAATAGACAGGACCAGAAAAGAAACTCTCCACAGCACATCATAGTAAAAACGCTAAACATACAGAACAAAGAGACAATACTGAAAGCTTCAAAAGAAAAACAAAAAATCGAATATAAAGGAAAACCCATCAGGATTACAGCTGACTTTTCAGTGCAAACTATGAAAGCCAGAAGAGCCTGGACCAAAGCATTCCCAGTTCTAAATGACCACAGATGCCAACCAGATTACTTTGCCGAGCCAAAATGTCTATTATAGTTGAAGCAAAAAGAAGAATCTTCCATGACATAAGTAGCCTGAAAGAATACATGTCCACAAAACCAGCCCTTCAGAGAGTTCTTGAAGCAATATGAGCTGAAGACAGGAACGACTATACCAAGGGGTTAGGGAAAAAAACTCAGTAAAGGTCTAACTATGGAAATTCACAGCTACCCCCCAAAATATGAACAGAAATAAAAATGACAGGAATCAATACACATCTTTCATCAATAACTTTAAATCTCAATGGACTGAACTCCCCAGTCAGAAGACAGACTAGCTGAATGGATTAAGAAACAAAACCCATTTTTTGTTGTTGTTGTCTGCAAGAAACTCATCTCACTTTCAAGGACAGGCACTACCAAATGAGTGACATTAAGAAAAAAGCAGGCATTGCAATTCTAATATCTGACAAAACAGACTTTAAACTAAAACTAATCAGAAGAGATAAAGATGTGT